CACTCACTTGTTCTTAGTTGGGGCGGCGGGCATTGCTAATGCCCTGGATAATTCTGCTCTCCTTCATTACAGTTTACTCATTGGAGGTATATACATTCAATTCAACCCATTTCGCGAGGTGAAACGCGTAAAAAACACGAGTGACGCAATTTTCGTGATGCAAAACCACGACGCACAAAAGGTGCGCTACCGTAATCACAAATTCAGACACCGTGTTGATAAAATTCCTTTTTCCTTCCCAGAGTTTTTCCTCTGCGTTTTTGTTGTTTTCTTTTTGTATTCTTTTTTTGCACTGGATGATATCAACTACTGCGAGATGTGATAGAGAGATTTGTGAGCTAGGGGCTGCACAGAGACCGCAGGGAGGTGTAACTGTGAGGGAGCGATTTTGTTTATGTTGTTCTGGAGAACGCTTCTTGCCTGTTTTCTTCTTTGGGAGATTACTTATCAGCTGCTGTTTCATAATTGGAAAGCAGCTATCCATGAGACTTTTATCGCGGGAGCTGTCTTTAATGTAGATTGTGGACAGGATCAGCAATGGGTTCTACTGGTAGCGATTCACGAAAGTCTTATCAAGGGACTCTTATCCCCCTTGCCCCGCTGGTGCAAGACCCGTTCTTCGGATCGACGATCGCCACTTTGCACGATTCAGTGCATGGGGATTGATCATCTTCATGGCCGCATTGACTGTATCTTGCCAGCGTTGCTTTGGTTTTCTTCGTAGTCGGTAGCGTTGGGTCTCGAAGTAATACGCAGTTACAGCCACGATGTTGGGGTGGCGCGTAGAGTACTGTTAATACCACTGCAGTCTCGTCTGTCGCATCTTGGTCGCTATCGGCATAACGCCCTTTGTCGTTGAACCATGTCCTAACAGATGTGGTGAAGTCGTCGGATGCCCACTAACAAACGAAGGATCCGCATCTCCATTGCACATGGAATTGGTATTCGCTGCTTTCGCAGTGGCTGCCCGACCTTTGCATCCATACAGTGCAACGAGATAAACCGCAGTCCGGTAGACCTTGAACATGTGACGAATTGGGAACGTTTACCCACACATCACACCATTTAGCTCTTTCCATCGCATCCACATTGCATTGAATTTTCATTCGTACCTCGTCATTAAGACGATCACAGCTTCACAGACGGGATCATAGCTATCTGAAGGTCTTTGGAGATTCTCGCCATTGACAGGGATGGTTCCGTCACTAGGATCGATCTCTAGATATTCCGTCTTTTTGATACTGAGGCGGAATCCATAATGTCCTCGTCTGCACCAGCCGTTGTAGCTCTTGCCTGTTTACGTCTGTGAGGAGAATATGGTGAGCAAAGTTCATGGAACGTCGTCTTCTAGATGTGTCAGTACGTCCATAACGAGGAAAAATAGCAGTTGTTGAAAGCGCCGATCCTAGATCGAGACGAAGACCCCTTGTGGGTGGCGGCTTATCAATGGACCCCTGTGAAATTCATATTAAAAGCAGATTCAAATTCGCAACCTATTCGATGATTTCATGGTAGTGGTACAACCCTAAATCGGAAACAAAATGTACATCCACCTCCTGGTGGCTTGTCGTGTGTGGCGATAATGGATCACTAGCAGCAGTAGCGTGCCACTTTTTCCTCTAAAAAGTGCACGGAGTTGGAGCTTGAGGATATCGTTACCCGGGTGCGTCTCAAGACCAGATGCGCTGCTTGTCGCTGTCAATCACATTGATCAGTTTGTCCTTGAGCCTAGAAGGGTGTGCACTTTGTCCTCTTTCACTTTTTGCCTTTACTTCTTCCAACTTTGGTAGGTTATAGGGATGAATTTGTGAGAACTCAATGAACTGTGAGAATTCTGCATATTGAATAGCTTAATGTTCACAGTCCCGCGCGAATAGACTACCCTAAAATGCTCTTATTGTTTTGGTGACTCTCTATTTCACGCCATTTATGGAGGATAGAGAGAAAGTGCTGCGAAGATTTATTTCGTAGTCTCAACAGAGAAAACAAGGAATCAGAGGAAACTCGAAACCACGTTGGGTAGTTTGCAGAGGAGGTCATCGCATGTGGCTTTTGGAAGGTTCAGATGCTGACAGACGCTTATCATCCTTGTTACAGCCCGCCTGATCTGGGTCCTTGTCTCCCACTTCGTACAGAGGTGCATAGTCAGGAACTCTGAAAGAGAATATGTGACAAATAGACATGCCCCTCAGAAACTACGTAGGATGTTCTTACTTTTTATTGTAGATACAAATAAGCGAAGCTCTGATGTCATTTCCGTTGGGGCACTCTTCATAATTGCAGCCGACTTCGTAAATCTTATCATAGGCCATCTAAAAGGGCTTTAGTTCAGTGGAAAAGAGAATTGGACCGAATAATTTACTTACATTGGCGAAAGTGTACAGATTGCTGCTGCCATACAAGCTCATATTGTACTTGACACCATCTATGGGATAACTCTCCGTTGGCAGGAGCCATTCGTCGATTGATTTGCTTAT